CCCACATCTATGTGCTCCTTGGAATTAAGCAACAAGACTGGGGTTTGAGTTTTTACCAATAATATATATTTCACTCTTTTTAATATTATGCTTGTTAGGTGCTCTGATTTGGGGGCTGTCACGCTGACCCCCCAGAGGGGGAGATACAGCTCATTAGGGGGGTTGTTTCCTTCTCAGTCAATTGGAACTGAATTAGCCCCCTGGATTCTGACTATCCGCCTATTTTCTCCCACATCACAATCTGCCTCAGGTAAACTTCTGCTTTTTCTTCTACTCCAAATTATGGCTACCCGCCACCCCAACTCCTCAGGCTGTGAGCTCGAGGCAGCTAACAGCACAGAGAGCTCTAGCTTGGGGTACTCCTCATGTCTGGGATGTGTCCCCTTTAGAGCATCAGCCTGGAGAAATCGCTACTCCTGGTGAAAGGGCAGGAGGAGCTTTTCAGCTGGAGCCCGCGAGCCCAGCTCACTGAACCTAGAGCAATTTACAGCATTCTTGGTTCGTTTTGTGAGTGGAAATCACACACACACACACAAACACAAGTGGGGTTCACGAGAGACCCTAGTACCCTAATTCTAATTTCAGGACTCTATCTCCCAGTTTCCATCACCTTACCTCCCAATTTTCTGGTCTGGCAGCAGAAGCTCCTGACGGGTATTTTAACTAGTTGCCATTTTCCTCTCCAGTCTGATTGCACAACTCTTCTTGATAAAACTGAATTATTATATTGTATGATATGTAAATTATATACCAATAAAATGATTTTAAATGTTTTTTTAAAAGAATATTGGTCTGGAGACAGAGCATAGAAGAAACTGATAGTTTACTGGAGATTGAGAGATCAATTGAAAGATGAAAGCTGTAATTGTGCTCAGGAGCAAGGGCGACATCTGGGAAAGAACAGAAAAGCAGAGTAGGAGATGGCTGTCAGCTGGGAAGTTCCCTAAGACTTTATGGAAACAACAACAACAGAGAATCTCAGAATCAAGAAAGGCTGTCCCTCTCAATTGACTTCTACATCTAATGTGCTTGGCATTGCATAAGTTACTCCATAGACTGGTTATTCTCAAAGTCATATCAGCTCCTTTTTTTGTTAATTAAAATTTTTTCTTCTTTTCTTCTTTTTTAAGAAAGTAATTTTATTGGGGGCTCGTACTACTCTTATCACAATCCATACATACATCCATTCTG